GGCCTCTTCCCCACAACTCTGATCCGGTGGTTGTGGGGGTCTGCGGGCAAGGGGGCTTATTTGCATTGGGGTGCCCCTTTAATTAAGGGTGCACCCAGATGTTGCGCCCCTCTTGTGAATGATTAAGGCTACCCATTTACTAAAGGGTTAAATAAAATAGTTATTAAAAAGTCCAGACTTTTGATAAAATCCTTTATTTGGAAAAAAACAAAAGACATGTTTTTGACAAGTCTTAAAACCCAAAACATTGATCCACCGACGTAATCCATGGTCAATCACTGCGTTGTCCACGCCGACGACCACAACTTTGGCCTGCGGACACAGAGGCTGCTTGCCCTCTTATTGCTGCATGGGAGTGTCTGCCTGCCCTTTTTGGCCTTTCTGACATGATGTTTACTGCAATAATCGACTGTTAGTATCAACTGTTCTGATCGACTGCTATAATAGACCAGTATGACTGACTGCTATAGTACACAACTCTGATATAGAACGCTGTATAAAGATCGCTGTATATCGAATGCTGTATATAGCATGCTGTATACAGGACGCTCAACTCGAAGCGGCAGCCCATCCCTAATCTACAGTTCTGCTTTAAACTTTAGCAGAATAGTAAAATATTTCAGAAGGCTATTGAAAAGTGGCAATGTGGGCATTTAAATGGCAAGTTAAAGTTTATATTACAAAATGTAAGGTTATGCGCCTAGGCCAGAGGAAATGGAATTTCCCCATGTGTTAACCCTTTTGCTGCCAGTGTCGTTTTTACATGTTAAAATGCACATTTTAAGCCTGAAGATGACTTAACCCCCCCTCCCCACAGAATTATATACAGTATTTCCTGAAAGCAGAAACCCTATAGAATAAAAAAAGGGTCAGTTGCAATTTTTAATGTCGCATGATATTAGCACAATTGTTTATACAACCCAAATTTCTGTAAAAAACACACTTAATTTTAGTGCACATAAACACAATATATTACCCAATTTTTGGTAAAATATAAAAAATTGCGTGCACCCATAACTGTTCCCAACATTGGGGTCAGAGCCTGATGGCGATGCTGAGGTAATAGTTGCCCATTTGTTCCACTATGCTACTGATTGACATCAAGCAGTGGGCAAATTCCATAGCCAATAGAATGCCCATACTGCCCGCTGTCAATCAGCAGCAAAGTGGACCTGATGGGGAACTAGTCCCTCAGCATCCCCATCAGGCTTCGCCCACTTAGCGGTATCATTGGCTGCTAGGAGGCTGTGTAGCGGAAAGCGTTTTAGCATCCCTGGCTGACATGATGTCAGCCAGCATCCTTCGCCCCTTGTTTACATTCAGCTACCAGCTGGGGAATCTGCCGGCCGGATGCTGAAAGGGGCTAAGGATGCATAGCTGGTTGCTAGGACAGCAGCGGCCTGGAGTCCTAGCTGCCAATTAAAGGGAAGTTGCCAGATTCATGACAGTTTCCAGTACACACATGGTCCACTCTGAGCACTGCCGTCTCTCTGTACACCAGATCAGAGTTGGTTTTAATTCTTAAAGTGGTGCCAGTGTCAGTAAAGCTACCTAAGCTGGGGACAGGACTTTTTTGAATTTGGCGCAGGGCCTTTTAAAGGTCGATTTTGCCAGAAAAGTGGCGTTAAGCCTTTTTTTTATTCCCCCCCCCCCCCCCCCCCGCCCCTCCCTCCTCTCTTCCTCTCTCATTCTTTCGCATAGAACAAATAAGCGTACAGTTTTACTGGACTAAAAACTATGCAATTTATGTAATAAACAGCCCCCTATGTGTCTTGTGGCTTTTCCAGAATGTCTTCCAGTTGCTGTGCAGGCACAATGCAGGTTGTATGACTCTCCCTGATCTCTGGGTTCAGCTCCTCTGGCTGCACAGCCCAGAGGTCATAGACTTTTCACACCTGCCTCTTATATGTCATGCACCTATATTGCACAAGGGACAGAGACCATCACTGCACAAAATAATGTGGCCCATTCCAGTCCTGTCCTCTGTTCTTGCTTTCATTTGTTGGAAGCTGCATTTTTACAAGAGCAGAGCAGTAGAGATCTTTCCTTGGAGGTTAGCACCGCTCTCATCACTTCTCTCTAATGCAGAGAAAGAGATTAGGTAAAATAGCGTACGGACAATATTAAAAATGGATAATGCAAATGGTAACATAGATTCAGCGCTATAGTACTTTGGCATTTATTCAGTCATACAACGCCGTACTGAAATGCATTGTATATTATTTTTTTGGGACAGATAGAGCTTTCATTTGGTGGTATTTAACCATTTGCTGACCGGGGTATTTATACCCCTTTCCTGTCCAGGCCCTTTTCAGTATTCAGTGCTGCAATACTTTGACTGACATTTATTCTGTCATACAACGCTGTACTGAAATTAATTTTATACCATTTTATGGGGACAGATAGAGCTTTCTTTTGGTGGTATTTAATCACCACTAGGGTTTTAATTTTTTACTATATAATGAAAAAAGTACAGAAAATTTAGAAAAAAAAAACCTATTTTCCCTACGTTATGTTATAAAACATTTATTATTACCCAAATTTTTGGTAAAATATAAAAGATGGGGTCACGTCGAATAAATAGACACCAAACATGTCAAGTCTTAAAATTGCCCACAAAATTGCAAAAAAACGCAACGCTTTAAAATCTTTTACCGCTCATCAGTTAAATGTTAAAAGTGATTGATGGCCCTAAAACTATTGCTCGCACACCGCCATTTGTAGTGATATGTAACGTGTGGTGTAATTGTTTCCGCACATAGGCGCAACTGATACATATTTACGTTTGTATGCGTGTGTACATGGTGGCTGGGGACTTTGTGACTATTTTTTTTACCCTTAACTTTATTGCTATCACATAGTCCTAACAAGTCCCCTATGTGATAGTGTTAGGGAAGGAGCGAAGTCCCCCTGTTTGCTGGATTGTACCCCAATAGCAGGCAACAATACCAGAAGCAGAGTCCAGGCTGAGGTACAAGATAGGGTGATCCAAAATGCGTTGTCAGAGTACAGTCCGGGTTGAGGCAGGCAGCGAGTATCATAAACGGTAAGGCAAGCCAAGAGTCGATAACCAGGAGATCCAAATAGCAGGGAAGGGAGACAGGAAACAGGAAATGAGGTGTCGTAGCTGCTTTGGGAATGGCATAATAACTCAGCAACAAGTCTTGGCTCTGGGTGGGATTTAAACCAAGCAGGGGCCAGCGGCGCCCCCGTTGTCTCGGCAACCAGGAAGCCACAGGTCCCTGAGAACCAATGGGACAGCTGGGAGAGAAGGAGTGCTCGGTAGGCCCTCCCCGGCAATGATCAGCACCCGAAGTGACTAAGGAGCCACGGGAGTGCCACATGCGCACGTCACGCTCGCATGTCATGCATGTGCTCATGTGCACACCTGCAGCCTGCCGCCAGGTACAAATTCACCCCAAGAAGGACCCTACGATCTCCGTCGCACCCGCCGGACCCCAGGTAAGAGGGCACCCCTGGTCTGACGACAGATAGCAAATATACAGTGACAGGTCCTCTTTATGGAGACATCAGGGGTCTTTAAGACCCCTAATGTTACCTAGGGACCCCCAAATAATCTGATGGAGAGAGAGCCGAGGTCCCGGGTCCACACGGGGGACAGCGATGCCCGGGATAGCCGGCAGTGGAGGGGCTCGCACAATCCTTGGCACCGTACAAGCGATCGGACGGCTATGTGTTCTGCTCAGGGTCGCTTGCGAGCCAAAAATAAAAAACTGCCGTACATGTACGGCGACCTGCAGAAAGGAAGTTGTTGCCCTCTGTTTATTTGCAACGGGCGGATGGCAAGTAGTTAAATGACAGTGCCTTTGTTCCGTTTCCTGTTTTCTAACACATTTCTAGATAAAAGCATCTGTACAAATGAAGAATGATTTTGATCATTACGGTTTAGAACAGTTTATGTTGTGGTTGCTTTATTTATATATTGATAATTACACAACAATTTATGGGGCACTTTTCACCATTAACTTAAAGCTCTTGCACAGTAGAACTTAACAAGATCCAGTCAAGATTGGGTATTTGGGTATTTGTAACAATCCCCAACTTCGCTCCCGTTTTCTCTCCTGCAAAGCTGCAGGCTTAGTGTGTTTCTTCAAACACCCACAGATGCTGTCATTCATGTCTACCACCTTAGGTTCTGAAAACAGGCATTCTCTCCAGGCTGCTGCAAGCAACCACTGATGCTGTCATGTCAATTGCCTTAGGTTCTGAAAATAGACACACTCTCCAGGGTGCTTGAAACCCCCAAAGATGCTTTCATGTCCACTGCCTCACTTTGGTTTCTAAAAGACTCTCTCTAGGCTGCTGAGAAGCCTGCCTGTTTGATGCTAAAAAACACACACCCTACTCCGCTAGCTGATGTCGCTAGACAAGCTTGATGCCCAATATAATTGCACTTACACAGATAAATTCTTCACCACCTGGACCCCATTTATAGTGACAGAACTATCAACGACTCAGTTGAAAGAGGTGATGTTATTGTTCCAAGATAAGGAATGGTACCACACTGTCAAATTGACTGGATCTCTGGGTGCTCTAGATGTCCTTTAACGTTCCTCTAAACTGACGTCCCCCAAGTTGTTATTGTTACTTTCTGAAACCCTTCTGGTCCCATCTTAACCCGCTTGGGTATCTTAACGAGGTATTCAAGGTGATTGTGATGGTTTTTGGTTCAGATTCAAACTTGTTCATATTTTATATGTTTTTTTATTTTTTGCATTTTTGTATTTTTTTCGCTGTTTACCAAAAGTTCTGCCTCTGTACCACTTGAGTTGAAGACTGGTTTGTCTGTATGTGCTAGCTTCAATAAAGAGTACATGCTTAAAAAAAACAAACACTCCATCCATGCTGCTAGAAGTTCCAACACATGCTGTCGTGTATTCTGCCTCAGTTTGGTTTTCATACACTCTTTCCTGGCAGATACAGGGGGATACAGATGTCCAGAAATATATTTTTAAATATGAAAACATTTTGTCTTTCAGGTTTATTGCCCAGAACATAATGAGATTACAACGCCTTGGAATCACTCACATCCTAAATGCTGCAGAAGGGAATTCCTTCATGCATGTAAACACAAATACTGCTTTCTATGAAGGAACAGGCATTACCTATCATGGTATTAAAGCTAATGACAGACCAACATTTGACCTCAGCTCTTACTTTGAAGAAGCCTCAGACTTCATTGACAAAGCATTGTCGCAAAAAGATGGTGAGTACTCCTACAGCTTAAAGTTGTAATAAGGCATATTTTGTAGATACAAGGACTTTGGTTTATGTGTGCAGTGCATACAGCAAGTAGGCTCAGACTGTATTTAACCTATTCCTCATAAGCAGGGCTTGAAAAATGTTAGGGTGTCTCACCAGTCAGTAAAGAATGTCACCAGTCAGCAAGACCGGACTATAGCCTTGCAATTTATGTTAACATTTTTTGGGGACAGATAGAGCTTTCTTTTGGTGGTATATAAAATCACCCCTTGTTATGTTATAAAACATTTATTCTTACCCATATTTTTGGTAAAACATAAAAGACGGGGTCACGTCAGGTAAATAGACACTAAACATGTCAAGCCTTAAAATTGCACGCGCCCAAAAATTCGCAAAAAAGACGACCACACTGAAAATTGGCCATAGGCGACGCTTAAAGCGATTTACCACTCATCAGTTTAGTGTTATCAGTAATTAATGGCCCTAAAATTATTGTTCACACTCCGATGTTCGCGGTTATGTGTAACATGTGCGGCGCAATAGGCACAATCATTGTTTTCGCACGTAGGCGGACCCGACGCATATCTGCATGTGTATGTGGGGGGCGGAGGACTTTAAAAAAAAAAAAATATTTTTAAATTTTTTAATGCTTCTTTATTTCTTTTCTATGTTTCTTTAATTTTTGTATTACTTTCCTAGGGACCCCCAGAGAAGCTGATGAAGTAGAGATCTGCTTCATCAGCTTCTGTAGCTGGAAAGTGACACTGAATGCAGGAAGTGATGTAATATACATCACTCCCTGCATTCCGGGCCTGGAGAGTAGATCAAAGGGAGATCGTGTACTGATCTCCTGTCACAGAGCTGTGCCGCTCCCGGCCGCATTAAGCACATCAGATCTCAGGACCGGCAACGGCAGTGACAGCTGCTGGTAATACAAGCGATCGGGCGTCTCGAGACGCTCGATTGCTTGAATGTAAAACTCCCGGCCGGCCGTGTAATTACAATGGCCGGCCGGGAAGCTGCTCTTCGGGCTCCGCCATCCTCTCATCACAGATGAGCGGACAAGTGGATTTTTCAAGCCCTGCTCATAAGCCACTGTCACTGCGGGAGCCATCTGGCCATGCCCACAGTTTGCTACACATGCTGCAGTTTCTTTTCCTAGGGTGCCACTGGGGGTGCTCTAGGGTAACAACCCTAGAAATGCCACTGGGAGAGCAGGTGGGCTCTAGGGGGCCTCATGAATTCTAATAGCAGCCCTGTACAGAAATGAGAATTCTACTTTCCAGAAGATCTCCAGAAAAGATGGCCAATGGTGCAGTGTGACTGCCTCTCAAACCCAAAATCTTGCTATACAGTGAGAGTACACCATATCTACTTCATCTCGCCCTGATGAGACCCCACAGAACCCTGCTACCCTGGTGAGGCCCCCTCAGAGCCCTGGTGAGACCCCACAGAACCCTGCTTCCCTGGTGAGGACCCCTCAGAGCCCTGGTGAGACCCCACAGATCCCTGGTCTGTGGGGTCTCACCAGGGCCCTGAAGGGGTCTAACCAGGCTGGTGAGACCCCCACAGAGCACCGGTGAGACCCTATGGAGCCCTGGTGCTGTTGAGACCCTATCTCGCCCTGGTGAGACCCCCACAGGGCCCTGGTTTAACCAGGGCTCTGTGGGGTCTCATCAGGGCTTTGAGGGGTCTCACCAAGGCTCTGCAGGACTAACAAGGCTGGTTAGACCCCACAGGGCCCTGATGAGACCCCACAGAACCCTGCTACCCTGGTGAGGCCCCCTCAGAGCCCTGGTTTAACCAGGGCTTTGTGGGGTCTCACCAGGGCCCTGAAGGGGTCTAACCAGGCTGGTGAGACCCCCACAGAGCACCGGTGAGACGCTACGGAGCCCTGGTGCTGGTGAGATCCTATCTCGCCCTGGTGAGACCAGACAGAGCCCTGGTGAGAACCCACAGTGCCCTGTTTTAACCAGTAGGGTCTCACCTGGGCTGTGTAGGGTACCAGCTGCAGGGCTATGTGGGGTCTCACCAGGGCCCTGAAGGGGTCTAACCAGGCTGGTGAGACCCCACAGAGCCCTGGTGAGACCCTAGAGAGCTTTACAGAGCCCTGGTGCTGGTGAGACCCTACAGAGCCCTGGTGCTGGTGAGACCCTACAGAGCCCTGGTGCTGGTGAGACCCTACAGAGCCCTGGTGCTGGTGAGACCCTACAGAGCCCTGGTGCTGGTGAGACCCTACAGAGCCCTGGTGCTGGTGAGACCCTACAGAGCCCTGGTGCTGGTGAGACCCTACAGAGCCCTGGTGCTGGTGAGACCCTACAGAGCCCTGGTGCTGGTGAGACCCTACAGAGCCCTGGTGCTGGTGAGACCCTACAGAGCCCTGGTGCTGGTGAGACCCTACAGAGCCCTGGTGCTGGTGAGACCCTACAGAGCCCTGGTGCTGGTGAGACCCTACAGAGCCCTGGTGCTGGTGAGACCCTACAGAGCCCTGGTGCTGGTGAGACCCTACAGAGCCCTGGTGCTGGTGAGACCCTACAGAGCCCTGGTGCTGGTGAGACCCTACAGAGCCCTGGTGCTGGTGAGACCCTACAGAGCCCTGGTGCTGGTGAGACCCTACAGAGCCCTGGTGCTGGTGAGACCCTACAGAGCCCTGGTGCTGGTGAGACCCTACAGAGCCCTGGTGCTGGTGAGACCCTACAGAGCCCTGGTGCTGGTGAGACCCTACAGAGCCCTGGTGCTGGTGAGACCCTACAGAGCCCTGGTGCTGGTGAGACCCTACAGAGCCCTGGTGCTGGTGAGACCCTACAGAGCCCTGGTGCTGGTGAGACCCTACAGAGCCCTGGTGCTGGTGAGACCCTACAGAGCCCTGGTGCTGGTGAGACCCTACAGAGCCCTGGTGCTGGTGAGACCCTACAGAGCCCTGGTGCTGGTGAGACCCTACAGAGCCCTGGTGCTGGTGAGACCCTACAGAGCCCTGGTGCTGGTGAGACCCTACAGAGCCCTGGTGCTGGTGAGACCCTACAGAGCCCTGGTGCTGGTGAGACCCTACAGAGCCCTGGTGCTGGTGAGACCCTACAGAGCCCTGGTGCTGGTGAGACCCTACAGAGCCCTGGTTTAACCCCACAGAACCATGTTGGGACCCTACCCTGGTGGGCTCTTTGGGATTTCACCAAGGTTCTGTGGGGTCTAACCAAGCTGGTTAGACCCCACAGAGCCCTTGGCGAGACCCCAAAGAGCCCTAGTGAGACCCCACAGAGCCCTGACTAAATCAGAGCTTTGTAGGGTCTCCCCACGGCTCTGTGGGGTTTCACCAAGACTGGTGAGACCCCACAGAGCCCTGCCGAGACCCCCACAGAGCCCTAGTTTAACCAGGGTTCTTTGGGGTCTCACCAGGTCACGGAGGGGGTCTAACCAGACTGGTGAAACCACACAGAGCCCTGGTAAAACCCTACAGAGCCCTAATTTATTCAGGGCTCTGTGGGGTCTCACCAGGGCTCTGCAGGGTCTCACCAGCCTGGTTAAACCCCACAGAGCCCTGGTAAGACCCCACAGGCCTGAGAGGGGCCTCATGTTTAGGTTTCGCCTAAGGCCTTGCAAACTCTAGAGCCGCTTCTCTAGAGTTTGCAAGGCCTCTGTCAGTCAGTTTTGCAAAACCTCTGTCAGTTTTTTTTAATATCTAGTTGGATAAATTTCCCTTTACTTCCTGTCCCGGAGGTGAAGTTCCCTTCTTAGACCCTTGTCACCCGTACCGGTATCCCCATTGGAAGATTTCCTCTAATTCTATTCAGTGACAACTATAACATTTTGGATTTCCTATTACTGATAGTGGTCACCAGGACAAATGGAGAGGGTGAATCTCCATGACAGGGACACAGACAACAATAAAAACCTGACAAGGGTTCTAACTCTCCCTTTGCCAACATTTTGGCTACACAAATACTTTAATATTATTCAGAAGGATGAAATAATGAGGGTACATAAATAGGCCAAAAAAAGGAAATTGCCAGTTGTTTCGCCCAGACACTTATTGGGCAATAAGAACGTGCAGGAGGCAAGAAGGGGGTATAAAGGTTTCTGCAAAGCTTTGGGTGCAAATAGAGGCACACCTATTTCCAATTCCTCCAGTAACCTTACTGTGGGTTACCCCTGCTCTACGTCCTTCTAATAGAGATCTTCTGAGGTGCCTACCCCATGTTAAAGATATGGGATGCTGTTATTAAGACTTATGAGATCTCTGCATATTATGGACTTATGACACCAGTGATAGGCAACCTAGAATTTGTGCTGGGACTTGAGGTGCAAGTGTTATTTATCTGAACTATTGGGCATTGGCAGAGAATAGATTGAAACCGCTTACATCTTTGCTTGTGGATTCTATTTCTGTACAAGGGCAGTGGTTATGATATTTCCAACTTCAAGATTTTTATTAGGAGGTGCGGAGCAGGGTCCAAGTACACAGGGAATTGACAACAATGGAAAAGTTATGTTTGAGTGAGGAAACACCCCAACATAAAGGTGAAACTCGAATAATTAGAATATCGTGCAAAAGTAATTGCAGTAAGTGCTGCAAAAGGGGCCCAAACCAAGTACTGAGTACATATGCATGCTTGTACTTTTCAGAGGTCCGATATTGTTCTATGTACAATACTTGTTTTATTGATTGCATGTAATAATCTACTTTTTTAAGGTTGTGGATTTGGGGTTCTTGGGGTTTTCATGAGCTGTAAGCCATAATCATCACAATTATGACAAATCACGGATTGGATTATCTTGCTTTGCATGTAATGAGTCTATCTCATATATTGGTTTCACCTTTTAAGTTGCATTAGTGAAATAAATGAACTTTGCACGATATTCTAATTATTAGAGTTTCACCTGTATAATCTCAGTCATATACACTACACTATATTGCCAAAAGTATTGGGGCGCCTGCCTTTATACACACACATGAACTTTAATGGCATCCCAGTCTGGCACTGGTGTGCAGTCATGTTGGAACAGGAA